TTGTTTACCCAATTTCATCTTGTCTATAGAGAGTGTCAAAAGGAAATAAAAGGAGCTTTTGGATGGGAAGTGAAATGTTTTCAAGAAAAAAAACCAAGAAAGTGTAGTTGCCTTTTGGAAAAGTAACTTCGGACCAATTGCCTCTTAATTTTAATGTTTTAATCTATATATATAAAAGCCAAATACCACTCACTCATCACAAAATCTCCAGAACTATAAAGCCTACAAACTTGAAATTTGGCACATATGCTCACTAGGAAAGGATTTTTCATATTTCTTATACAGTAATTAACACTCTCTGATGCTAAGGAGTTCTACTCCCCCTCCCCACCTGAGAAGAACTCTGTTCCAACTGCCAGTTGCCTCACATTCCGTTACCTCAGTTCAAACTGGCAGACATTCCACTCCTTCACTCAGGAGCGGTCTGGGGCTCCTTACAGTGCTAAGAGGCGAAAGATTTATACGATCTGAAGAGAAACCAGAGTTACAGTGCTAAACATCAGTACCTCACCCAAATGTCTACGCCTTTCACCTATGGAACTGCTTCCGGACTCAAGGTGGCGGGAGCGATATTCCCTTATGTGTTTCAATCACCGGCCACCAATCAGACAACGGATTGTGAACTGAATTCCTTCTGCATAGCCCGGTCACATTGTTTCGTCGCAAAGCATGGATATCCAGCTAGTGTAATCTATTTTAGATTAGCCTCTCAAACCAGCTGTATTCTGTGGCGATCCTTACTTGTCCGTCAAAGGGTGCTTGATTCTAGTTTGATGAACACATGTTGAATTAGATGATTGTTTTCTTCTGCGTTCAGGACCCCCAAGGAAGGGACTCCGGATAACACCGTGGTGGAGATGAGGGCCGACAGGCGGAACGAACAGACGGGGTTGCTGAATCCTGGAGGCGGCGGCAGTGGAGGAGGAGGAAGGGGGACGAATGAGGTGAGGAGGGGGCTGGGTGGGCCAATGATAAGAGCCCCCCTCCCTGGCCCATGAAAGCTTCAGAGTGTCAGCCTTTACAGCAGCGGTGGGGAACTTTGGCCCTTGTGGACTTCAACTCCCAGAATTCCTGAGCTCCTCCAGACCCTCCCTTAAGGGTGGCCCTTAAGTTCCCAGGATTCCCAGCAATGGCCAAGCTGCCAGGGGAATCCTGGGAACTGAAGTCCATATAACTAGTGTGCTTGCAGGATTAGGGGGGAGAAGCGATTGGGGTGGTGCAAAGGAAGACAATGGAGTGTGAATTAATGCCCTCTTTTCTTCCTTTTTTCCTTCTCTCCCTTCCCTCGTTCCTCCAATCCCTCTCCTTTCCCTCCCTCCGTCCCTCTTAATCCTTCTTCCTGCCTTCTGTCCTTACTTCCCTCCCTCCTTCCCTCTTCTAAATCTCCCTCCCTCCCTCTCTTCCTTTTTTCCTTCCTTCCTTTTTCCCTTCCTTCCTTCTTCCATATTCTCCTCCCTCCCTCCCTCTTAATCCTCCTTTCTGCCTTCTGTCCTTACTTCCCTCCCTCCTTCCCTCTTCTAAATCTCCCTCCCTCTCTTCCTTCCTTCCTTCCTTCCTTCCTTCCTTCTTCCATATTCTCCTCCCTCCCTCCCTCTTAATCCTCCTTTCTGCCTTCTGTCCTTGCTTCCCTCCCTCCTTCCCTCTTCTAAATCTCCCTCCCTCTCTTCCTTCCTTCCTTCCTTCCTTCCTTCCTTCCTTCCTTCTTCCATATTCTCCTCCCTCTCTTCCTCTTAATCCTCCTTCCTGCCTTCTGTCCTTACTTGCCTTCCTCCTTCCCTCGTCTAAATCTCCCTCCCTCCCTCTCTTCCTTCCTTCCTTCCTTCCTTCCTTCCTTCCTTCCTTCTT